CGATCCGCCCTGAATCGAACAATTCTGCAGCGCTCGGCATATCGCCTCCTACGCTGCTGCTACCGTCTTCACTAATCAACGCACAAACCCGGACACCTCAATGATAGCTTTTAGCATCTACCGCGGGACGGTGATTTTGCAAGTTGATTTTCTGGTATGCGAGACAACTTACCTCTCGACCTTGGGCGGATGGTGCTGCAGCACATGGAAGTGCTCAGGCCCACTACTGAACCAACAGCGTGAGTCTGGGTGAAGCGTGCCCCGGTGCTGATCTTAGCGGTAGTAGTAGATACTCAAATGAGAATATTGAAGACTGGAGTGGGGCGGGTTCTATGTGACCCTGTTGCTGGGCCAGACAACCGTATAGCCAAAACTATGGCAGCCTCTATTAGTGCCCCCCCTGGCCCCGCCCAGCCCAGGCATAGTTCACCATCTTCGGGCCCCGACAGGCATGCTCACACTCACGCCTCTCACAGCAGATGGTGGGGAGCGGACAGTGCCCCCCCATTGGCTGGCCTCACCAGTCAACCTTCTCTCCTGCGTCGTGAGCCAACCTGAAGGGCGCGCCCCCAAGGTCCTCGACTGTCGTGACGGCCATCCGTGTTCGGCAATATCGTATCAGAGCCAAGCGAGTCGGCCCCGACGTTAGTCTCGGAACCAACCACTGAGTCACAGCAATACAAAAAAAAAAAAAAAAAAAAGTTAGATTAATAAAAATAAAAATAATAAAAAAACTTAAGAAAAAATATAAACTCGTGGACCACCGCGCCCGGTGATACCCTGTCGTGGATATACCGCTCGCGCCGCTCATTTGGGCAGAACACAACTCTCACCCGCAAGTGCGCCGTCAACTCCGGACAAGGCCGTACCCACGTGACTTGTGAAAAACACGCCAAATACCCTTGTAAGGGTATTTGGTACGACAGCGGAATGCCCACTTTGGGTTTCTGCTGTAGCTTCTTTGATTTCTTAGTTGGAGACCCTGACACTTTTTGAGGATCGACCCCTGGGGGCAGGCTCAAGATCTATGGCTTGAGAGGATCTTTGTCACGGGAAGCCGTAGGCTCGTCCGCATTCAGCTCCTCTACTTCGAAAAATTCGTCCGAACTGGAGGAGTGGACTTTTAAGGGTGCAGGTCTGAGCATTATGTTGGGAGTTTCCCAGTCGTAATACACATTATTATAAGTTTTCACTGGGGTACTAGGCTGTCCATTCAAGTCTCCAAACAGTGGCACTAGACGTCCATCCTTGTCATCCTCAGACCCCTCATCCGAGGACCATGAGTCCAACTTCCCTCGAACCATTCGGACTTTACATGCATCATAAACAACCAACGCTTTGCTGAGGGAAGGTTCCTCCAAACTCGAAAAAAAATCCTCCTCATGTTGAGCAGCGTCATCCTCTCGTTTTCGTTTCTCTCTAATCAGGGCAATATCCTCGTCCATTTTATCCACCACCACGAGATTTTTGCCTCCCTCTAACTTACCCTGATCTTTCTCCAAATTGAGTTGATTCCTTTTCTCTGTTATCGCCCTTTCTTTCTGGTGTGCCTCTCCCAAGTTCCCCGATGTCCCTCCACCCTCTTCCTCCCCCGACCCCTTTCCTTTCCTTCCTTCCTCTTGGGGCCTATCCGATCCCGCCAACACTGCCCCTTTCGGGGGGGTTCCCTTTCCCTTGCCTCGTGCGCCTTCCTCTCTATCCCCTTTCTTCGGGGACGGAATCCCTTTTTTTTCCCCCCCTCCCGCCACCTTGTCCCCACTAGCCTTACCACCTCCTTTCCCACCACCAGTCTCTTATCCACTTTTCCCCTTTCTCTTTTCCTGCGTGGGAGACTTTTGGTTTAACGCAGCCACTGCGTACGACTTTTTGCTTTTCGACCTGCAATCCTGGTCCCCTTCCTCATGAAAATATTTTCTGCAAGTCGGGCACCACGGAGTGGTAGCATAAATAACTTTCAATTCCACGTATCCCATGCTGCCCAAATCTACGACCAGATACCTCTTATATCGGAGTCTAGCAACAAACTCCAGTTCGAAACGAACATTCCGCAGATCTGGTTTAATTGGGTCATTATAAGCCGATAATTCTTTTATGATGGGACCAAAAGCATCTTCAACGGCCTTGGAGAGGTGAGGGAGGACACCAACTGGTACCTGGAGACATCTGATCCCAAAAAACCGGTGTCTGGCCACCTCCCTCCACTCCCAAAGTTAGTTTTTCGTCATCCAGGGCTCAAAAGTCAGAGTGTATTTCTTCCCATCTAACTCCACTGATGATTGCCCGGCTCTCAACATCCATGTGGCGCTTTCCTTGGTCGTCGCCACATAAGTAACAAATTTTTTTCCCTCATTGTGAAATAGCTCCCTCTTCGGTGGAACAGTGATCTCTCCCTGGTCAGCCCACCCGTTCTCGTAAATACGAACTAAGCGCTTTTTTACATTCACGGGGAGTGACGTGGAGTCGTCGCCGAAGAATATGGAAATCGCATGCTCTTGGAGCCATTCCTCCTGAATTTCCAGCAATACTGGGTTTATAACTACCTTAACATAGTCATCCCCGGTAATTACCGAATTGGAGGCTAAATCTTTGGGGAAAATTCCTTTGTCATAACATTTTGCGATCGAACCCCTAATCTTGTTCCTTTCCTCCTCCGACAAAGTCGGAGGAGGCGCACCATCGTTCATTGGACTCGGAGGGGTGGACCTCTAATTACCTAAAGGAAGAAGAAAAGGTATCTAAAGACCACTTACTATTAATATTAAATAAGCATCTATAAATAGTCCAAGTTTACACAATGGTCCCTGTATCCCCTCCCTACCAAAGTTTCTATGAATTAGGGATATTACATCCAAGGAAGGCGAGAATTCCACCGGGCTTGGCTCCTGACTTGGATGTCGTTCTCTATTCCTTCGTGCTTAAAACTTCTGTACCTGAACACTGTCGCCAAAAGCCCCACATACTCGGCCATTGTCTTAGCCGTACCGTATCTCACGATTGGCACTCACCATGTCAGAAATGATGAAGACAGGCCTTTAACCCTAAGTCATCGGGAATACCGAAGACGAAGGGTCAAAGGGACGGACCACTATCGAAACTGCTAAACACCTGCGCCAGAACATGCTACCGTCTCCGATAGAGTTTAGCGCAGGAAAATAGCGCAGCTCTCTAGCACCCCCCGAGCGGTAGCCGTTTTTAGATCCCCCTTTTTTTTTTTTTTTTTTTAATTAAAGCCCAGGTTGTTGTAGAGGTGGGTTACTAGACGATGGCAGTCACCCACAGTACTCAACCACTCGGTTGTGCAGATGAACCCCTCTGAAGTCCCCACCCACCCTTTCTCTTATTTTTTTGCCCTGGCGCACCCCCAAGTCCCCTGTCCTACCCTAGTGTTAACCACCCAGGACCATCACCCATTGCCATCATGGCGGGGTGACCTGACCAGACAGCGGTTGCAGGTACCGGAACTAAGCAGAGGTGCCTACCCCCTGCTCAGCCCCGTTTGAAGCAGGCGTCGCGCAAGCCTGATTGCACAGGGACTTCGGGAGCTAGGTTTGAAAATACTACTACACGTCTTCATGAGGGTGCACAGTGACTCCCATCTAGCTTAGTTGTATTGTGATGATAGAGAGCTGGGTATCCTCCGTTCCCTCGTATGTCCCTGGAGCCCGTTCCGGCGATGACACCCCCGACATCCAGTACTAAGGAACTGCTATGCCAGCCTCAACCCTATGCTACGTACTAGGAGGATAGCCAACCCTAGGTCATGAGTTATGGACTGAGTTTCTTTATCCTTATGTTGTCTTTTACTATAGTGTACTATGATGTTGATGGTGGAGAGATGGGGATCCTTTGTTCCCTCGTATATCCCTGGAGCCCGTTCCGGCCCCCCGGTAAGGTGCAGTATCTCTTGACACCCCGACATCCGTACTAAGGACTGCTATGCCCGCCTCAACTCTAAGCTACGTACTAGGAAGATGGACCGTATGTATTGACCCTGGATAATCTCTAGGCCTGTTTTGTATGATAATCTGAGAGCAGACAATCCTCTGTTCCCTCATATGTCCCTGGAGCCCGTTCCGGCCCTGCGGTAAAGTGTTAGACCACAATGTCCTAACACTCCCGACATCCCGTACTAAGGAACTGCTATGCCAACCTTAATCCTTTGACCACGTACTAAGAGGATGACCAGCCCTAAGTTACAGTCTCGTATCAAACACAGGACCTCATGTGAATCACATCGTGCAAATGACCTAACCTATTGACATACACTGTGAAATAGTCTGTAGCTATGCTGTACTGGCCTCGAGTAAATTGTTCACATGACAACCCCGTCGACCAAGAACATCAGGATACCCACCATCGCCCAGTCCCCACATACAACAACCATGGACTACCCCTTGGGTGGTGCGCAGGCAGTGTACCTGCGTCATCCCAAGGGGGTGTGTGTCCAGCTGTGCGTCATTCTAACGCCCTGCCGGTGTCCATGCGCAAGGTTGCGGAGTTTTGAACCCGCAACCTCATACCACAATGCGCATTTCCAACCGGTGCTTTAACCACTGAGCTTTACCTCTCCTGTGTGATGTTGTCCTCAGCCAACCAGTATATTGTTTCCCTCCCTCTGTCCCTCTGAGTGTCTTTCATTGCCGTTGTGCTTTTTTGCTAACTGTGTCGCACTAGTCTGATGTTGTCCGCTTACTTCTAAAAATAGCTTTTCCCTTCTGAGCTCGGAATAGTCTATCCTACTCTGCTTCTAGTACTATCTCGGCCCAGAGGACCTCGTCCTTTTTTTTTTTTTTTTTTTTTTTCTTGTCCTACTCTTCCTGACACTCTCCTTGTGGCCTACCTACAACAACCGAGTGCCCAGGTTGAGGGTCTCGCCACACCACTCTCGAAATGTGAAAAAGACAAAAATGTGGCGCGTGCATCTGGTCATGTTCTAGTCATGTTCTAGCGGGAAGTTCATTCTCATTTTGCACATTTCGAGAGTGGTGTGGCGATGCCCTGATACAAGATTGAATTTATCTGGGCTGCTTTTTTTTTTTTTTTTTTTTTTTGGGAAAAAGTAAGGAATCCATTATCATGAGGCCGGGAATTCCTCACAAACAACCCGGAACAAACCAGTTACTCCTGGAGCCCAAGGTCCAGGTACAACACTTGGCACAGCCATAACAGAAGGGTCCGCCAGGCCTAAGCCTAACCGGAGAGCAACCGAAACAAACATTCCCAAGGGAAAACAAGACCAACAAACATGCAAACCAATAAACCTGAAACATAAGAACTTGGAGAATAAAAACAATCGAATCTATACTAATTTTATCACCTACTCGGGGTAATACCCCCTCTATACCTCGACTAACATGTCGAGGTGGACCCAAACTGCCTACTTCTGGACACTCTCCCACCATCTCCTCTTCCTCCTCCACTTCCATGAACATACACCCAGTAAGATCCTCTTTCCTTCACTGCTGGAAACTTATTTTCCCATCCTCGTCATACTTCAACAACTTCCAAAATTCTCTGTTCTCTGGAGCCCCTGCATCTATGTACTAGGTGCCCGGCGGGTCTACACCCTCTGGGCTCAGGATCGAATGCCACCGGTCTGGGATGGCTCGCACAATGGCCACTAGTTTCCCCTCAACGTCCCTCGATGCACCCAGGCTTGCTTTCAAACTCTCAACCTGGACCCAGTCCCCCCTAATTTCATCCCATAGATCCTTGACTCTCACCACCCCTTTCTCTATCCATGTGCGCCCAAAGCTGCCAACTTCTCTGTTTGCCGCGAACCATTTCCCTTCTTCGTCCGAAATATATGGATTCTCGAAGAGGATCTGAGCCAGAACTTCTTGCTTGGTGGAGGACTATTTACACCTATTGGGCTTCACTTGCTGCCAAGCTTTCAGAACTCCGGCCCAAAATTTTGACTTAATACGGCATCTCAAGTAGGAGTCAATCCAAATACAGGCCCAGACATCTTGGGGCCTTGACAAATTTCATTCCTTCGACAGGATTACTTCCACCAGGATTAGCCAATGTTCTTCCTTTTCCAGGTTGAGCGCCTTCGGCACCCAAGCAGCCAACATTGAGACATTCTGTCTTCCGAGATCTAACAGAGCTAAACCACCCTCCTCTCTGGGATAACAGATAGAGTCTCATGCAACTTTCGATATGAAGCCAGAGTTGTCCGAACTGAAAGGTTTCCACACGAAACGAGCAGCTTTGCGTTTGATCACAGTTTTGGTTTTCGAGCCAAGCGGCCTCACTCTACCCACAAACCATAATAAAGCAAACAGAGCTACATTGAGAACCAGTGCCCTCCCTAGCAATGATAGGTGTGGAGCTTTTCCCCACACCATCAATCTATTCAGAACACGTTGTTGCAGGAGTTCATCCTGTTCAACTTTGCAAGACAGCAGGGCCACCTGTATTCCTAAGAAACGCTCTGACCTGCCTTTATCTACTCTTCGCATACCCCACTGGACCTTCAAATTGAATGTACTTGGGAGCAAGTATACCGATTTGGACCAATTTATGGCTGCTTCGGATAACTCCTCGTATTCCTTTAGGCAGCTTTTGAGAGCTGTCAGTGAGCTTTCCGTGTTCTCTGATACTGCAAAGAGATTATCGGCCAATGCTTTGGTTTTGCATTCTCTTATTCTGCAACGGATTCCAGAGACTTCCTGGTTGCACCGGATGTTGCACATAACTGTTTCAAGTTGAAGTACAAACAGCAGGGGAGCCAACGGACACCCCTGTCGCAGAGATCTGGATAGGCGGAAGGTTGGGGAGAAATGGCCGTTCACCATCACCGAAGCGGTGGAGAACGAATACATTACAGTCACCCACCGACAAAAACTGTCACCAAAACCTAGGGTTCTAAGGGAGGTTAAGACGTACGACCAGTTCACTCGGTCGTACGCCTTTTCCATATCCAACAACAATACTGGCACCTCAAGGTTCTCATTCTGAATAAGTTCCATTACCTCAATTGCAGTTACTATGTTATTGAATATGGATCTTCCTCTAACAAAGGCGGCTTGATCCTCATCCACTAGGTCAGGTAGGAATCGTGCTAATCTCCTGGCCAGGACCTTAACTAAGATCTTGTAGGCTACATTGAGTAGAGAAATGGGCCTCCAGTTTCGAATCTCATTCCTATCCCCCTTCTTATACAAGACTGAAATCACCCCATTACAAACATTCTGTGGAAGCTTCCCCCCTACCAACGTTTGGTTGTAGATCTCTATCAATTATGAGCCAAGGACATGCCAGAACGTTTGATAGAACTCCACGGGGAGGCCGTCGTCCCTGGGGGCTTTCCCTTTGGCCATCTCTGATAACGTGCTTCGGGCTTCTTCCCTCGTAATTGGCCGGTCCAAGTCCAGTTTGCCATGCAACGGAAGGCGGGCCTTCAAATTGTCCCAGTGGGTCGAATGGAGTGCCAGATTGCAGCCCGCACCCTCCTTCGGCCTCCTGGACGTAGGAATATCCTTATAGTAACATGTCGCATACTGACAGAGGTCTTTGGGTCTTGTGGCTGCGGGCTCCGAATCACAGAAGGGGTGTGGCAGTTCTTTCATCACTTGCGATTGCCTTCTGGGAAGCAGATCTGAAAAAAGTCCTTCGTCATTCTGTCGTATACTACTAGCCCTTTGACCTTTAATTTCTCAGCCCATTGTTCTGATCTTTCCTGTTGTAGTTTCTCTCATTCCTCCATTCTACGCATCCTCTCCTTCCCCCACGTTAATTTAGAAATGGGGTGCTCTTTCATTCTCCTCTCAGCGTACTCGACTCTCTTTAGACACCTTCGCTCCTCTTTGTGTCTCTCAAGTGCCTGGATTCTGGAGATCACGTTTAGCAGGTTGGACAAAATCTTTGACCCCACCTCCCACCAATCAGCCAATGAGGCAAACTCATCCTTCCTTTTTTTCCATCTCTCCCAATGACTAACCACCCATTCTCTGAGATCCGGGTCACGTAGATTTTCAGTGTTTAACCGAAAATAACCCTTCCCTCTCTGCACCTCCTCCCCTACTTGAAATTGTGAAAAAATAGGGTCATGATCAGACATTGGGTGCTTGATTACCTCAACCTTCCCCAAAGCTTCCAAACCAGCATCGGAGACTAGGAAGTAATCCAATCTCTTACCTATTCCCTGATGAGAATGCCAGGTAAACCCTTCATCCAGCGGATAGGACAATCTGAATGCGTCATGGACATTGAGCTTCATCATGAATTCAGTCATTGGCACGATTGCTTTCATCGGAGATCTGACATCTTCGAATCCGTCTAACGATTGGTTCCAATCTCCTGTAATGATTAAGTTATCTACATCTGGGAGATACAGAGGCAAATCCCGCAGAAAACTCTCGCGTTCCTTTTTCCGTACCGGAGCATAAATAGTGGCCACCGCCCATTCCTGTTGGTCCACCCCCAATTTTATCCACGCCCCTCTTTCCCAAGCATCGTAAAAATAATCGATTATTTCCACGTCAAAATCCCTATGAATCAAAATTGCTACCCCACCCCTAGAGTCCTGAGTTGGCGACCATAATTGTGGGCCATCCCACCATCTTCCCAATTTGTCTATCTTCTCTTCATTTAATTTCGTCTCCTGCAGACAAACTATATTCACGCGCTCCTCATGCATCAACTTTTTCAAGCGGGTCTTCTTACCTTTCCCAGATGAGTCCCCTAGACCCCGGACATTCCAAGAAACTATTTATAACTTAACCATTAATCCTGACACCGCCTGACAATGACTGGATTTGCGGCACAGTGGCCCCAGCACCAGAAGTTGCATGCGAGGAAGAGTCTACCACCCAAGGCTTAGCTAATGCATTTTTTACAAACAACGAATCCGGTCTTTTATCCTTCGGGAATCTGATCTTAATCTCCGCAAGGCAATCCGCTGTTATTCCATGCTCCAGATGGATCCTACCCAACTCTTGTTGCCTCCCTTCCGCAAACCAGGCCACAGGTAAGAGATGCAAACCAAGTCTCTCGAGTTCGCCTAGACTGGCCAGTCAGAGATCCTAGCATCAATTAGTGACACATAAAACTTCATTTTAGCTCCGGACACGTCAACAATAATACGGGTTGTGGACACGTCCGATATGACCCTTGCAGGGAAGTACTCAAGGTACAACATTTTGACCGCCTGGATAATGACCTGAGGAGACGGGACATCCGAGACTGGTTGAGAGAAGAGGGTGATTGGACCGTTACCTGTCTGCCAGCCTACTACCCAGACTCCGTTTCTTACCAACGTGCACAGAAGTGGGACCAACACTTGTTCAACTCCCGATCCTTGAACCCGGGCCATCGTTGCTAATCTTCTGTTTCTTGATGTTTTGACGCCTGACCGCACCACCGGGTCCTGATTTGGCGATTAAGCCGAGGACTCTTCAGAGGCTTCTGCATGGACTTCCTTGACTGAACTCATGCTCAACCTGCATTGCTTCCCTGTAGGACGGTTCCTTGTTTGCCCGCTTACTCCGTCTCTCGATGGTGTTGGTGTAGCCTCGGGGTCCTCCCGTCCTTCAGTGTTACTCCGACCTGTCTGTCTCGGCGTCACCTCTTTTCTACTCGGTGATGGTTTTGGTGTCTGGAACCCTTGATTATCTCCCTGGAGGGATCCCCCCCCCCTAGACCCCCTTGCGTTGCAGACGCCTGGCCCCCATTCAACCCCCCCCCTACGTTGTTTCCTCTCATAAACGCGTGGAACGTCGAGGGTCCATACATGCCCTGTCCTGCACCGCCTGTAATTCCTCCTCCAAAGAGCCCCATACCGCCCGGAAAGAGACAATTGTCCCAACCCATGGCTGAGGGGTCGATTGCTCCCTGGAATGGCATACCGAAGAAAGGATGTGGCGCTTGCTGATATAACGATCACGTCCCTGCTCCGAAGCCCGCTCCGCCTGGAGAGAAAGATGGGTTGAAGGCTGCGTTAATACCACCTTGACCGCCCCCGCTTCCTGCCGGAAAATTCCCGGATGGCCTTGGCGACAGAGCACCTTGATAGGGTTGACGGCTTTGTGTTCTACCTCCTTGTGAGTTCAGATTTGACCTCGAAACGCCAGGATTAGCCTGACCATAATTCTGACCGCCGCTTCCTTCCTCAACCCTAGTTCCTCGTCTGCAATCCGCTTCATCATGGAAGAATTGTCTGCATCTTCGACACTTAAGGGTGGACGCACAGGCCAATCTCACCTCCAGGCGATCTCCAGATGTTGTGTTAATCTAGAGTTTGTCCTTCATGTTACCTCTCGCATCAGGGTCCACGTCAAATTTTGCATTCACCAAGGTCGGCCTCGCGGGATCCACGTCCGGCGGGTGAGCAAGCAGGATTGTGTCGATCGCCTTCTCTATTTGGGCATAGATGAACGACATGTCGTCCAGAGGGATCTGCACCGCTATCACCCAGAAGGTTCTGTCATCCTCTAACCTGCGGAGCTCTCTAAACTCCGCCCGAGTCATCCACGGCTTGAACAAGATTTTATACGTCTCATTTCTCACCGTAATATCAGCACCCCCTTCGTCGATCATGTATGCTGCGACTTCCCTCGACTTCGCCACGTACAAGACCGGATTCGGGCCCTCCACTTTGACTCTGCCTCGTCGGGTCTCCGTTGGAAACGTCGTGCTTCCCAGTATCCAACCATCCTCGTAAGCTCGGATTGTATCGTCCTTGATCTTCTTCGGTAGAAACCTTGCGTTCTCTTTAAAAATCACAGAAACGGTGCGTTCCTTTAACCACTTGACCTTAATCTCATCCAGCGATGTATTTAAGGTGAAACTCGCCTCCCGACCCCGAACCGTCATTTCCCCTGGATCCAGGTCCGTGGGGAAGACTCCATCATCATAGCACAACGTCAAGAGTGACCTGATGCGGTCTTCGTCAGCCCAGTAATCCTGCTGATGCTCCGGGGGCACCGGTGGTGGAGATCTAGCTCCCTCTCGTGAGTTCGGTCTCTCCTCTCCTTCCTCCATTGGAGTACTGCAACGCCCAGTTCTTCTTCCCTTGGTCTTCCTATTATCTAACGATCGTCTTCGCCTTCGTTCTAAAACTCCCTTCCCACTGAACTCACTACTCACAAGAATAACTGCGTTACGTTACACACATATGTGTTCATTAAACGCCTCCTGGTGCACGGGAGGGGGGTCACCCGTCGTTCAGCTAAACATGGTGGAAACATCCACCATCGCTGCTTCACACCCTTACGGGGAAAGTGATGAGAGTACCGGTGCGCTGTCTCGGTGGCAGAGCATCGGTTGACCCTAGGGCCTAGCGGCCCGATGCCGCAGGGGCAGAGCGCTTAGCACCAACCGCCGCGGTCCCCTCGCGCCCATCTCCCCCAGAAACTGGGCCTATCTGTCTTTTTATTTCAACAAAAATTCGGAGGCCGGGAATCCCTCCACAATCAACCCGGAAAAGAAGCTGGGACCATTACCCAGTTTAGGTTCGGGCGGTGAACTTGAATGTCCAGAGGTAGAAATTGGCCAAAGCAAGACTGCTACCCTGACTGAGAGTCCACCCCTCAATAAAAAACGAAAACCACAAGGCCCAAAAAGCCACACAACCCAAAAAAGGGTAAAACATTCTACAGACATCCCTAAAAAAAAAGAGGAAACAAAAGCAACAGAACAACACACAAGGAAACAGAAAACAGGATGTAGAGATTAGAACCTCTCTGGGACACGTCAGATCGTTAAGACAGAAGAAGGACTCTATTCTCTCCGCTATTCCGTTGGAATGGAAAGCTCTGCTATTCTCTGAGTCTCTTGATCCTCCGGGCACCTAATATTCCTCTGATTCCTCTCCCCAAGTAGTGTGGTATCTAATTGAACATCAGCCAGATGGCAAGCGCAGATTCCAGGCGTACTCAGTACTACTGTCCCAAACCTTGATTAGAGATGAGGATAATCCTCCTCCACAGTTGGGCCTCCCCCTGTCACAAGTCCGTGTACTTATAACTGCAGTGGGAGAGTCCGAACCTGAATACAGACTTATTGGACTTGGCCGCTCTATCCTACATCTGAAAACTGATCCATACCTTTGGGAATGGACGATTCAGGGGAGGAGGGGTACTTCCCCCAATCTTACAGAGTACTCTCTCAAGCTTGGGTACACCGTTCAAAGACCTCTGAAATGCCCCTTGGTTACTGCCAGATCACGATGGATGCAGCTACTCGAGCTTGACCAGGATATTGACCTTGCCCGAATCGATTCGGCTCTGCTCTCATGTTGGGAACAGCTCAAGTCGATTCCGTGTCAAAGAAGCTTCTATACTGTGGTTGGAATCGATGGTAGCTACGCCCTCTGCAGTATGGTTAGCTCAAAAGGGCTCTGTCTCTTATACACATCTAGATGTGTATAAGAGACAGGAACAGCTCAAGTCAATTCCGTGTCAAAGACAAGCTTCTATACTGTGGTTGGAATCGATGGTAGCTACGCCCTCTGCAGTATGGTTAGCTCAAAAGGGCTTGGCAGTGAACCTCACCTGCCGTAGATGTAATTGGCCTTTTGAATCTACTGTTCACTTATGGTGGGATTGTCCAGCTTCTGATAAAGTGGGGAAATGGTTCTCTAATCACTGGGATCGTATTTCAGGTTCTGTTTTTTCATGGGACAAAGAATGGATTCTTTTTGGTGGTATCCCTGAAAACTGCGGAAAATTCTCAGGTTGGGGCTATGTTGCCCAAGTTTGCCGGGCAGTTATCTTTTTTGTCATCTGGTAATGCTGCAATGATCGGCTGTTCAATAACCATGAATGGACAAACAAGCATCTCAGGAATACAGTTGCTCTGCTGCTGCGCCGTTCAATCCAAGCAGACTGGCGACGCAGGGTTTCCTGTTCAAGTTCCCYGGCTCAAGGTATYCGTTGGTTCAGGTCAACATGGTGCCTAAACGGCTCCTTGGCGACAATTGACGACGACTCCAGACTTTGCTTGGATGATTGGTTATTGTAGTATCTGGAGGGTGTTCCCTCCTTTAATGGTATTTAGCTTAGTTAGGGTAGTCTGTCAGAGGTACTTTAGTAACAACCTGGATTGCTCGGTTGTTTTGTTTGTTGCCACAGGAGGCAGGCAGAGGGACTTTGATTGGGGAGGGAGCGTCGATTGGGGCGGGGGTCCTTTTAAGACCCTCTTCTCCACCGCATTTAGGTGGAGCTAGGAGTTAGTAAGTTGTGCAGCAATTGTGTAGCATTAGGATGACTGGGCCTATCTGGGCTGCTTAGTCCGCTGATAATACCTCAAAAAAAAAAAAGAAAAAAAAAAAGAGGCCCTGGTGAGCATGTGCTCACCCCAAAAGAAACCTGTCCTGTTTTTTTGTGTTTTTTTTTTGTTGTTGTTGACATTCGGACCGTGGTGAGTAGTGGAGCCAGGAAGGAACTCACCAAAAGTAGGCTCTGGTGAGTGGTAGAGCGAGGCCCTAGCACTCCGTTGAACGTACTTGACCCCATCTACGGTCAGATTCACTTGAAAGTGTCTTTGACGCCATCTACGGTCAGATTCACTTGAAAGTGTCTTTGGGCCTCGCTGCACTACTCTTGAAAGGTGCAAAACGAGAGTGAATCTTTCGCTAGAACATGGAAAGATACAGCGACATGATTTTTGTCTTTTGTGCATTTCAAGAGTTGTGCAGCGAGGCCCTTTATGTGAGTATGCCCTCGCTTTCGAGAAGAAGTGGTTCCAGTGTGATAGCGGCGGCCATCAGGGTGTGTCCCAACCGCCCACCACTCCCAACCCCAAACAAAAGCTGGGTGCCGTGTGCCCCTGCAACCTGTGAAAATTTCGGTCCGGTGAAAAACAGCGAGTGCGTGTGGGGCTGAGACGACGAGGGAATTGGTTGATGAATCCCTTCCCGACAGCTTTGGTTAGTTGAACTTAGTTCTTTATTAATTACTAATTAATGCGTTTCTGGAGTGAGAATTAGATTGACGAGTAATTGACATGCTATTACTAATTAGACTTCGTGTAAATCTCCCGTTACTACTTTGATTGGTTGATTGGTTGATTGGTTGATTGGTTGATTGATGCTTGATTGTGGATTCACAGGTGATTGATTGATGATTGATGATTGATTGGGGATTTGATTGGTGATTTTTTGCTTGATTGGTTGATTGGTTGATTGGTTGATTGATTGATTGATTGATGCTTGATTGTGGATTCACAGGTGATTGATTCATGATTGATGATTGATGATTGATTGGTGATTCACACGTGATTGATTGGGGATTTGAATGGTGATTTCATTGACTGAGGGGATGAGGCTTTTTTTTTTTTTTGATTCGCAGATGTTTCGCCGAGTTTTGGGGTCTAGATCAATCACCAAAGCCCCAATTTTGGAGTACGTTCTCAATTGTCGTCTTGCCCGCTTTGGCGGGAAGGGGTGAGCCTTTTTTTTTTTTTTTCGTGTTCTTGTTTTCAAATTTTTTTTTTTTTTTTTTGGATGACGGTATAATTTAGGAAATCAAGAAAAAAACGACGATCTATTTTGGAAAACAAGAAAAAACGACGATACCCAGCTCATCTGGTTGAATGGTGGTACACTGGTGTAACTGTTAGGAAAGAGATCATGAGTTCGAACCCAAAAAGGAAAAGGAAAGGAAAGAGAACATGAGTTCGAACCCAAAAATGAAAGGAAAGGAAACAGATAATGAGTTCGAACCCAAAAAGGAAAGGAAAGGAAAGGAAAGAGAACATGAGCTCGAACCCAAAAAGGAAAGGAAAGGAAAGAGATCATGAGTTGGAATTCAAAAAGGAAAGGAAAGGAAAGGAGAGAGATCGTGAGTTCGAACCCAATAAGGGAAGGAAAGGAGAGAGATCATGAGTTCGAGGCGTGCGCAAATCAGAGGGAGGGAAAAAGGAAAAGACGATCGAACGTGGAGATCTGTGAGGTTGGGAAAAGAAGCGAGAAGGTATAAGGTTCACACGGGGATCACGTCGAATGTATCTGACCGGAACTGCAGCCAGAATCGGTCCAGAAAGTTCCTAGTGTCAGTGTTAAAATTAATCGATTTTTTTGCTGATTGCGTGATCTATGGTGTTGCATGTGTATTTGTCCGTTTCTCATTGGACTAAGGTAGTGAGTGCGAGGAGCTAATTTACGACTGGCATCAGATTTTGTATTCCTTGTGGACGGAAACGGCGTAATTCAGCTCTCGTTGGCGGCGTGGGGAGAGGGGAGAGAGAGAGAGAGAGAGAGAGAGAGAGAGAGAGAGAGA